TAGAAACTTGGGCTGGAGCTGCAGACATATCATTGGCTCTGTTTTTGAGGACAACCACCAGGATGTTGTTAGCTTCACAAGAACCCTGTATTTTGACTTGTTTGTGGTCAAAGCAGATTTCTACCAGATTGGTTTAAAGCCTGCTGAAGTGCTGGTGGAAATCCATTTTTAGCTTCAGATGAGTTTTCCACCTTTTTCTTGTATGGTGTTCAATTTTGGTTTTTGCATACCAATTTTGGTTTTCCAACATAACCAACACCCATAATAGCTCAAGGCTAACAGTAGGTTCAAGATAATACTAAAAGCAAAGGATATGCAGAGCTTGAGCCATATACAGTAAATGTTTTGCTTTTTATAACATAAGTTAGGAGAGAAATTACCATATTTATTTTCTTTGTCTATTTCACGGAAAGTCTTTAAAGTTTATATCTGATTTACAACATATGCAATTGTCTTTCTGTTTCCATCTTTCTGCAGGAGGGCATACAGAGACAAGCTCAAATTCTGGACCCACTGCGTTCTAGTAACACTTATTGTATTTACAGTCATCTCATTTTTTGCTGAACAGGTAAAAAATTTATCAAATCTATAACATCTAATACACCGCTGTACCTTCAAGATAATATAAAATGTATTTTTAACGGAATAGCTAGGGTTTTTCCTTCATAAAAGAAATAAGGATGATACATGACTACTGATTAGGTTGCTTCAATTTTTAAGTTGTCATGTCCATTTCCATATTCATGGAAAATAGTCGTACCTGGGGGGAGGAGAGTTGTGTTCCCTTGTCAGCTGTTTTGTGATGGTCAAAACCATCATAAATGTGCTAAATTTGGAACTTCACAATCAGTAATTTTCTGAAAATCTTGGTCTATTAACACACGTTGATAGTGCAAGTAAGCCAATAGGAAGAAAACTTGAGTAGTATCACCACTCTAGTCCTGAGTAAGGTGTTTTAGGTGCCTAATCCAAATCTAATTCCTAAGTAACAATGAGTACTCCTATTGAATTCAAAATGCTTTGAATCAGACACAAAGAAAAAACTCCCATTCTGCAAGCATAAAATCATTTTCTTAAACATGATTAATCCTGCTAAATGTGGAGGGAGCCAATTGAACAAATCATATGGGTAATTCTTTGCAGGTTGGGGCCTTAAGTAACCCTTTCCGTGGTCTGATGAAGAGGGTGTAATTCTTAAAAGGTTGGCTTTTGACATTTTTTTTTCCTCCGCCTGTAACTTTTTGCATGAATCTTTCCCTTAATTTTCAGCCTTCTGCATACATTAAAAACTTCCCCTGCGTAGTAATTTTATTTTGGAAGGGAGTATTCAGCTCAGTAGGACAGCTAGGTATGTAAATACTGCCAGCTTTGCATTGACCTTTCAGAAACAGAATGTAGCCTGGTTTTATATTACATACACAAATTAACTTTAAAATAATCAGAATATAGGTATACCGTATCTCTCACTTTCTGCTTGTATTCTGGTTATTGAGAAGTACAGTGCAAGTGCCTATGCCTAATAGATGCATTTGAATAACTTTCTGTGCAGTGGGGGAAAAAAAAAAAAGAATGGACAGTACTGACTGAATTACCATGGATGGTACAGTTTCTATGGTTTCTAGGATGAAAGGCTGACCAGCTGCACACCTCTAGCCCAGCAGAGAACTAACTATTGTATTTTCTTTCCTCTTCTCAGCTAATTGCACTTAAACGAAAGATTTTTCCAAGGAGAAGGATCCAAAAGGAAGATGGTCATGAACGAATAAAAGTGTAGAAGAGCTTTATTTTGGAGATCAGTCTACCTCAAGATGTGATAAGCATTCAAAATCTCTTTCATAAGTGTCTTTTATGGTTTGATATTTAACCAAGGTGATATGAAGAAAAAAAAATCATGCATCTACAGTTATGATCTCTGCAGTACTCTGTGATATACAAGCTGCTGGAGCTGTGACAGGAAGCAAAACAAACATTGCAGGAAACCTGCATAGGCAGATTTCAACTGATCTTACTTTACAAACATTAGTTCATGGCCATGTTATCCTTTTTTATAAAAAGGGTTACCTAAAGAAATGTAGCTGCATTTATTGCAGTGTATGTTGCCAACTAGATATAATGTTAGAAGGCAAAGTTGTTTGGGATGAGCTCAACAGGTACTTGATCTTGCATTCCGAAACATTTTGCAAATTTCTGTCATTGCTGCTTTTTTTTTTTTTTTTTTTTAGCCCTATGGGAAAACGAAGGGAATTATGTAACTTGTCATTTACCTTTAGTCTATCCTTAATGATGTTGGCATTCTTTAAAGCACAGTGACAATTCACAACGTTATTTGTAGTATTTAATTGGGATTTGGAATAAATGCAATCTAATTAAAATATAAAATATCAGAACAATTAATTATTATTTTGAAGTTACTTTATATCTTATCTGGTGTATTATATTCCAAAGAATACAATGTTGCTGTTTCTTGATTACAAAGAGAGGGTTTTAATCAAATGGAAGTGATTAAGGTAAAATACTTTACAAGCATTGTAAATATAAAAGCAAAAGTGCCTCTCTATATGAATGGTTAACAAACTGTTTTAATGTAGCAATGTGTGGGAGAAATGTTTCACTTCAGAAAACAAAATTTATACTGACAAATGAAGCTTTGGTGTTTTTAAATTTCATGGGATTTGGCCCTGTATTTGTCTTGAGACATCAGACTAGTATGATTTTATGTGGGAAAAGATACTGTATGTTTTCAAGCACAAATTTTCAGTGGCATATCTTCATTGTACTAGCAGTATTCAAAGAATGCATTAGTGTTTTTTTTGTAATCAGATGTACAAAATGTATGTGCATATGTATTGTAAGATACTTGTTTGCTTTGAAATCAACTAAAATATGGTAAAAGGTTTGTCTGTTTCTGTTTTAAAGTAGACAAATTCACTCATTTTGATAAATTAGCCATTAATGCTTATAAAGCCTTGCGTTACAAGTTCTTATTTTCTTAAATGTCCATGAGTAATAATTTTAATAATATTTGATGCATGAGTGGATTCTCAAAGTAGAATCAAATTTTTGAGCATTGTAAAGATGCAATCACGCTTGTACATTGCTAGCAAGATATATAACATTATGTATAATGCTGAAACATATAAATATGTAGTTTAATTCACAGCTGGCCAAGGGACTGGAAAACAAGTGTTTTGAAGGGGTTATTTAGTCTGGAGGAAGAGGAGGCAGAGGGGAGACCTCATCACTCTCTACAATTACCTGAAAGGAGGCTGCAGCAAGGTGGGCGTCAGTCTATTTTCTCAGGTAACAAGTGATAGGATGTGAGGAAATGGCCTCAAGTTGTGTCAGGGGAGGTTTAGACTGCACTTTAGAAAGAACTTATTTATTGAGAGGGTGCTTAAGCATTGAAATGGACTGCCCAGAGAAGTGGTGGAGTTGCTATCCCTGGAGGTACTTAAGAAATGTGGGCACAGCACTAAGGGACATAGTTTAGTGATGTAGCTCAGTAGGTCAGATTGATGGTTAGTCCTTCTTGAAGGACTTTTCTAATCTAGATGATTCTGTGATTCTACTTCAGACTAGGAAAAAACGAGAACTTTCAAGAAATGCAAGAAAGCTTTGATACTTTCACTTTTTAAAGTTTTATTAAGATTTTTTTTTAAATATTTGCCATTCTAATCAAAATAATTGGGAGAAAAAGGGTTGAAATTTTAAGGCAGTCTTCTTGATGAAGTGATGTACAAATAAAACAGTTTGCATACATAGGTCAGGCAAGACCTTTTTGTTTAAGCAAAATTTGAAAGTAGATACAGCATTTCATTTAACTAAAGCAAAATGTCCAAAAGATGTTGGATTAACTTTCTGACAAGTATCCACTGAAAATCACAGCTAACATTTGTGAGCATGTTAGATGTAAAAAGAAAACAAGCAAGCAAAGCAAGATAACAGGTGAACAGGATTCCAATGGGCTAGCAACAACTTGCTCACCCAGATGCTTGCTCTCCCTCCAGCAGGAATGGGGGAGAGGATTGGAAGAGTCAAAGAAAGAAACACTTGTGGGTCAAGAAAAAGACAGTAATAAGCAAAGGGTGTGTGTTTTGTAAGAAACAAAAAAACCAGCTGAAAGGGTTTGCTCACCAACTCCCACAGCCAGCCCCAGCCACTCAGAGGATCATTTGCATTGGAAAGACTATACATTCCCCCAGCTTTTATTGCAGAGCACAATGTTACAGGGCATGGGATAACTCTTTGGGTCTGCTGTGTCTCCTTGCTGTGGGGACATGGGGCAACAGGAGGCCTGGGTTCTGCACAGTTGAATCAACCTTGCATTACCAGCGCTGTTTCAGTCAGCAGTCGTGGAGTACAACATCATCCAGGCTGCTGTGAAGAAAGTTAGCTCCGCTCCAGCCAGGCACAGTGTAAGTACAATATTGGAAAAAACTTAAACTCAGTTATGGAAATGCCAACAGGTAAGATTTCTAAAGTTGCTGAGAGTAAGGACGAGACAAAATATTTCTAGGATTTTTTATTTATATTTGGTATGCATAGGTAAAGAACAAAATAAATCACTTAGGAGGACAGAAGATCATGTGAGAACAGTAGAAAAATCTGAAACAAAGCATGTAATTCGTTGAATTAAGTTGGCTAGAGAACTACTGCCCGTTTGGATTCACTTACTGAAAAATCCTCCTAAGCCGTCATACCCTGGCCTACATACACCACAACAAAATGTTTAGCGGGCATTTTGTTGCCCGAGGGGGAGCTGGAAGCCGTTTCTAACCAAAGGAAAGGCGGCCGGAGCTGGGCCGCCTCCCACCTCCTTCAGCGCCGCCTCAGCAGCCGTGGCCGCGCCCCGGCCGCCTGCCCCTTCCCGCCCATTTTTCCCGCCCTTTTCTGGTGAGCGGGGTGGGGGAGGGGGCGCTGAGGTGGGACCGCGCCTCAGCAGCAGCCGCCATCGGCCCGGGGAGGGAGCGTGAGGGGCTAACGGGGGTCTGCGGTCCTGGGGGCGAGGGGTCGAGGCTCAGCAGGCTGCATGCTTGCCTGAGGGAGCGAGGGAGGGCGTGAGGTGGCCCCTGCCGCTGGGGGTCCCCTTCTTATGAGGCAGATGGGAGTGGGAAGGGGTTCTCGCTGTGTGAGGTGGAGTGAGCTGGAAAAGGACCTGTCAGTGGCACGGGGATGGCGATGGGGAAAGGTGGTGAGGTGGGGAGTAACGGCCAGGGCTGGGACGCCATGATGCCCCTCAGCCTTTGAGGCCACTGTGGTTTCCTCCCAGGGCACCAAGGCTGTGGTGGAAGCAGGTGGGTTCACCTGGTAAAATGCCCCACATGTGAGACTCACTCAACTAATACTTTTTTCAGGTCTTTTTGTGCAGGGAGAAATAAGGAGGTGAGTTCCTCTGAAAAAGAATGTTAAATCTGCATCTGTGGTTTGGGAATATTTGCATCAGCTAAAGCAAGGAGCTACACAAGATGGACGAAGGCTGTGCGGGGTTGCAAGGCTGTTTTAAGGTTTCTAGAGGAATTGGGGAGTTTGTGCTGTGCACACTGATTTTTCAGTGAAGTACATGTCAGTATGCAAGATAAATATGTGTTAGTAAATATATTTTCATGCAGTTTAAAGTTGAAGAGGGATTTTTTATATATATATTTTTCTTTGGCAGCACAATCAGACGTGTTTTTAAAACTAAGGATTTAAGGATTTTTAAAATTATATGTAATTTTAAATTTACATTGAAATGCTTTGTATCTCCTTCTATCAGGGGAAGATAAGAGAAGAAATACTGCAGTAAGGATACTGTATCCTGCTATTTTCTGTTATCTTTGTGTATCTTGATGAAGTGCTAAGGAAAAGGCTTGCTTTTATCATTCTCGCATTTAATGGCTACAGTTATTCTCCTTTCCTTCTAAATAAATACCTACTCCATAAATACTTGTAAAATAATACACATACTATATAAAAATAAGTGATAGTAAAGTGTGTTTTTTTTTAAAGTGTGTCTGTAGAAACACAAATATGCAAGCTACATTAGAAACACATAAAGAGGTGTAATGGCTAATAATAAAGCTAATGCAGAAAGTGAAAATTGATCAGGATTTTTAAAAACGACATGTGTGTGTTTATTTGTGTGTCTAGCATAGCATGGGTTATAGAACCAGATTGTTTTTCATCTTCTATTGCTTATGTATTTTGTAGGACAAGATATTAGTGTAGCTCTTTGGGAATCTGGTATCAAATCTGATAAAACATAAAATAAACATCATGGAAACTGAGCAGACAAGCACCTTAAGAGCACTTTCTTAAGAGAATAGTTTACTTTTCAACATATGAAAGTATGATCCCACTAGCCCTGCTATTTTTGACCCTGTTCTTAAAAGCACCACTGATGGTTAATCCTGTGAACTACTTCAAAAATAAAACAGTTTGACTGCTTCTTGTCCTTACAGGTGGAGATTGTTACAGGGGTGTAAATAACAAACAAATCAATGTAAATATGAAAACATATTCATCTTCCTGTGGGAAAAGTTATGTTTCAGCGCTATGTTTCAATAGGAAGAAAATCTCATTATGGCACCATCGGGAAGAAAGCATTCAGGAAAAGCTGGTAAACCAGCACAGGAGGATCAAGTGACACCTCCCTATGACTTTCCAGAGGAAGGAAAAGAGCTGAGTGGATCAGAGGAAGATATTAGAGAAGGTGCTTACATTATTATTTTTTTTTTTAAAAAGTTTATGGTATTTCTAACTATGAATAGATGAGAATATATCATGTGTTAGTAAGTGCCTGAGCAAGCATGGTTCCTTATGTTTGTGACAGCCTCCTATTGCATGGTGTTGATTGACTGGTAAGAGAACACATCAGAAGTGCTCTGTGTGGTACCCAGTTAGGTCTTAAACTTAGAGGTAACGCCTGCAATAGAGTAGAATCTTGTTACCTTATTTTGTTACCATCTTCTTCTATCACCTGGCTGCATATAATGCCATGGGATCAGGACAGAAGAGGAAAGCTCTGCTCACTTGTGTTGAGTGAGGTCGGATAGGTTAGTAGGAGTCTTATGCTGGGAGGTTTAAAAATACTCCAGGAAGACTGCACAGAAGAACAGAAGAGGTAGAGCCAGCTCTGAGGAAAAAGAATAGAAGTCAACCAAAGACTTCGTTTAATTTTGAGGGGGTGTCATGGAGAGTGGACTTAGCTTAAAAAATACAGTTTTCATTCATCAAGTGATGGATGTTCTCTTTCAGCAGTCATGTCTGGGATTTGTTTCTCTCTTTGTTTCTCCCCTTCTTCAGTTGTCCAGACTAAATCTTTTACTTTGTTTCAATGAGATACTGTAATGTGGGGGCAAATAATGAAACCAGCATCAGGAGTATTTCCACTGAGTTTTGCTATGCTGCTTTCTGTGAAACATCTGACAAGTCTATAGTCAGTGTGTTCTAAACTTTAAATAGGAATGGCTATCAGATTTATGTTATTTACTATATGGATCAAAATGTACATTCCTACAACTTGAATGAGAGGGTTTGCAAAATGTGGAACTGGGGAGAATCACTTTTAATTTATATAATCTGCCAACCAAATTTCTGTAAGGATATCTGAGCAACTTTATGCTATAGAAATGTCTGTTGTTTTCAGGACAGCTTGTATAGCTGTGTATGCTAATGCATACTGTTTTGAAACAGTATATAGTTTTATTTGTTAAATTTGTATTGTTTCATATTTTGGGTACCCTATGTTTCCATCTTGAATTGGGTATAACCTTGATTCCCCCCAATTGGCTTTTTCAATTTTTAGATTATTTTTAGCTTTCTAATGGTTGTTTTATTGTAAGTTGGTGGTATTTGTGTAGTAGTGGACTGAAAAACTGGTTGAGACCATCCTCAAGGAACTCAAGGCAGGGCCAACTCAAATCTAGTCTTGTAGAATTCATCACCATCTGTCAACTCTTCACATTCAAAATTTTAGGTGTCATATGTGTTAAATATAAAAATATATTTTTGTTAATCTTTCTGAAATTCACATTAAGGTGAAACACCAGTAATGGAGAAGCATGGCAAGAAAAGACCTTTGGTGACTACTCATGTGGTTCCAGATGATGTCGGGTAAGGGTTAGAATGTCTTTTTTCAAAATAAGTAAGTCTTAAGTAGACACTTTGTTCAGTTAGTCAGTATGCTTGTTTTGTTCGGGGTTTGTTCCACTTTATTTACTATCCTCCCTCATTTAGGACCCTTTAAAGGCCTAATACTGCCTTTCTTAGGGGAGTAAGTTAATAGATTGTAGTAAACTTTTTGAACATCAAGAAATTAGTCTAGAAAGAGAACTCTTGCAGCAGGTGGAGTGTTATTTTTTTATCTTGTAAAACAGTAGCAGCTTTATCATTGCTTAAATTATCAGGCACATGAATAAAATTAGTTTTAAGCATACATATTAGGTCTTATTCCAAAGTGAAAATGGTCAAAAAAAAGTTTTTAAACTATTTTTTAGGGGTGAAGTACAGAATATGCTGGAGAGGTTTGGAGGTAAGTACATTTACATTCTAATACGTTGAAAAATAACTAATATTTAACATAAAGAATTGACAGTAATCCATTACCATAAAATAACTTCTGAGATTTGCATAAAATAGCCAGTGTTTGTAGCATTGGTTACAGTCAGTTTTCAGAAAAGAGCTAATATTTAATACATCTAAATGGACCAGATGGAAAGAGAGAAGGGAATAACTGCATATAAAGAGAGTGAAAAGTATTGGTGTAAACTAATTATACAGAAAATAGGGAAAGAAGCATGAGTGCTTTTGATTATCAGTTCCCACTTCAAGATGCAGTTTAAGAGGTGGTAATTATATGGCAGAGAGAAGAGACTGTGAGTTAGAAAGCTGTTGTTCTTACTTAAATAATTTGTTACGGTGAAACAAAAGAGACCGGGGAGTGCAAGACAGGAGTGAGAAATTAGGGGCATGTAAATATGAAGATAAGCAGATAAACAGGAAAAAAAAAATCAAATTCATGGAAAGGAACAGCTGCAGCCTGTAGTTGTGAAAAGACTGAGCTAGAGAGTAGCTTGTACTATGAATCTTCAGGAATCTAGAGGATAGGGAATCTGTAGAAATGAGAATTTGCAGTCAGGAAGAGGAGTACAAAGTTTGTAGCAGAGCCAAACAACAAGGGTAATGCCAGTCATCTAGTGATGAGAGATTTATTCACGTTGCCTACTTAGATTTAATTAAGTCATAGTGAAATGAAATCCTCAGATGGCTTTGCTTAAAATTCAAAGTGTCAAGTTGAATTCTAGCTAGCTGACAGATTAGAGAAAAAGCACATTTCACCTGCAAAGAATTTGTAATACACTTCACAGATAGTGGAACCAAAGCATCAAAAAGGAGTGGAAAGAAGGGAAAACATCTTAATGCCAGTTTTGCTTACTCAATAGGTCATTGTTTGCATGTAAAGCTTAAGGTGAAAGAGCTCACAGAATTTATTAGTTCATGAATTAAGAATTTGCGCAGTTAAGGTGTACATTAGTATGCTATTGTAGATCTAGCAATCTAGAAAGGAGGAGAATTTCAAAGTTTAATTTAAAAAGATTGGATTGCTTGTTATTGAGGACTTAAAAAAAAAAAAAAAAAAAAAAGAAACAGAGCTCAAAAATAATAGGGTTGGCATTAACAGAGGCAGATGCCTCACCAAGTCAGAGAGACAGATTTGACAGATGTTTCCTGAAACCTACAATGGAAAGGAAAAGCAATTCCTGTATTAACCTTAGACTAACTGTGCCTTGTTTGTTAAATCTCCAAATATAAATTAAAATGAAATTGACATACTAACTGACATTAACCCAAATATTTCTTAAAAAGTACTTAAGGAGTCTTTCTGAAGTATGAGAAACAGTTTGTCATTCAGTCATTCAATATATGGATAGTGATAGTAATCCCATGCTACCTCTTATTTCTGAAATCTATGAAATGTGATATACTGCTTCTTCCTATGAGAACACACCTCATTTGCTTTTCCAAAGCATATAAGGTCATCAGCATCTTTAAGAAAATGCACAACAAATGTTGGTATGCTTAATTTCTAAATATTCTTTCATTCTAGCTGACATTAACAAAGCTCTCTTAGCTAAGAGGAAAAGATTAGAAATGTATACGAAAGCTTCACTCAAAACCAGTAACCAGAAAATTGAACATGTCTGGAAAACACAGCAGGAGCAAAGGTAACATTTACCATTGTTTTTTATATCTGTGAAGTCATATTCTTTTTTGCATCACAGCACTGAGTTGATTCATCTTCTTGCAGTTAAATAGCAGTAGTAATCTAGTAGTTAAACACCTACCGCAGTCCCTTTTTCTGTAACCTCCAATTCTGTCCTCTTGGGTTAAATTGTCAGTAACATTTTAGCATAACACTTTATCTTTTGAATGAAGTTTAAAGTTTGGAATTTTGAGAGTAAATACCTTATACAATTGATTTCACTTCTTTCTTTTTTTAATGTTGTTGTTGCAGAAAATTACTTCTGTGATTTTTGTCTTTCAAAACTGTTTTTTTCTCTCATTTAATTTCAAACTTTCTATTTGAAAACGTATTTGCTTAGGAAAAGTTTTACACCTTTTGGTTAGGAAAGAAAGTAATTTTCATACTGGAGATGAGATTCATCTGAACTAGTATCATGCCTCCTTACCTTTTAAGGCATACGTAGTTACTACATCTGATATTAGAAGCAGAGCAAAATTGAAAAAGGAGACAGATAAAATTGAAAGTCTGCAACACTTGCAACTTTTTGTTTTTATATATTTTTTTGAAACTTGCATTAACAAAACATAAATTTACACAGAGCATAATGAACTAATTAATGAGCTGATCGATTTTTCATTATAAATGACTTGTGTTAAAGCCAAGATCTGTAATGGGATAAAAACCCAAACAAAACAAAACAAAACAAAAAAACAGTAGATCTCAAAAAAGCTAACATTCTCTGTTGAAAAGTTTTTTTTTATTATTATTTTTTAACCTGAATTTTGTATATGAGTGCTGTCTCTTCATATGTATATAATTTACATTCAGTTAGGAAAAAAAGTATACGTATTGAATGATAATTTTTTCAAAACATACAGTAGGTTAGGACTTGATTCATAATAGCATCTTTATCTATGCCAGCTCCTTTTATTCCATTCCATGTGCACAGAACCTTATCTTTCTTCACAGCATTTGTAATACTTACAGCTAGTGTCTGTTTATAGGCAGAAGCTCAATCATGATTTCTCCCAGCAGTTCGTGACTTTATTTCAGCAATGGGATGTAGATGTGCAGAAAGCAGAGGAACAGGAAGAAAAACTTGCGGTGGGTTTCCAGCACAGGAATTGTTTCACAGTATAATCACAAGGAGAGAATAGTGTTGTTCAGACACCCAATGTGAAAGTGCAGAAATTAAAAAAAAAAAAAAACAACAAAAAAAAACACCTTACGTCTCTTGATCAAAAAATTCACTCAGGTTTGGTGGTTCTTAAACCATAAATGTTTAAGTTTTGGGATATATTTAAAAGTGGAGAGGGGTGCAGTGCTTTATTTCAAGTTTATAGATGGGAGTAAATGATGCCCTGAGCCAGAACATGGCTTGAGAAAAGCCAAGATGGTTATGGAGAACCAGATGTGTTGAATCTGTGCACCCATAGACTTCGGGTAAAGAGACAAAGGAACACAGGGAAGTAGTTGTCCTTAAGCATGGCATTGCTTAAAAGTATGCCTCTGTATCACAAATGCATAATTTGATGTCTAAAGGGGATAGAAGCTACACAGTGGAATTTAAACACATACTATTGCTGTATTTGTACTCCCAGAATGTTTGCAAGTTGTGCTTTTCCCTAGTCAGTACATTTCCCTGGGATACTCAAGAACTGTGTTGGCTAGCAGCCCTCAGGATCCCACAGAGAAAAATCCAGGTTAGAAAGGACCTCAGGGGACAACTCAGGGCTTAATCCAGTCTTCAGTCTTTCTTTTATTACCAAGAACAAGGATACCTCCCTAGGCAGGGATCTACATTGTAGGACCCAGACTGCCAGTGAAGGCAGAATTTTTGATTCTGACAAACGGCATCAGTTTTGCTGTCAAAGCACTTTTGGTAAACTAATAACATGATTTATTTTTTTTCTTCAGAACATGTTTCGTCAGCAACAAAAAGTTTTTCAACAGGCAAGAGTAGTTCAAAGCCAGAGACTGAAAACCATTAAGCAACTGTATGAGCAATTCTTGAAGGTACAGTAAATTTTCTTCTTACAAGGCAGCTTAGCAATACCACATTGCTTAGGAAGGCTGTATTAGTTCAGCCTTTACAAAATACAGACTTAAGGTTCGCTTAAGGAAAACAACAGCTTTGCGTAAATATTCATGCTAAAGCACCCTGGGACACTCAAATATCTTTGCCACAAGGGCACGCTTCTGGCAGGACCCCCAGGTCCTTTTCTGTGGAGCTGCTTCCCAGTTGGGCAGCCCCCAGCATGTACTGGTACATGGGGTAAAGCCTGGCACTTTCTAACAAGCCTTAATTTCTATTTGAGTCATTTCCTAACTGGCCCTGTTTTGAAATTTTTTATTTGTGGTATCTGTTTTTTTCCAAGTCACACAGAGGCACTCTATTTTAAATTTATTTTTCAATGCTTAGTTTAAAATGGTTGAAATTTGCAGAGGATATTACAGAAATCTTAATAATAACCATTTCAAAATGTCAACAATGTCTTCATCAAAGATGAAAAACTGTATTACTATGAATTTTCTCCTGAGAGAATATCAACAGGTAAAAAAAAATCAAGCCTCAAATCAGCTTAACTTTAAATACAAGCTAAAGAAAAGGCAGCTATGTACATCAGTTAGGCATAACTGTATGTGCAAAAGGGAAGATAACCAGTGAGCTTTACCTTAGCTTATTTGGAGTGTAGTGTGCAAAGAGGAGCAAATTCAACATTTTCTATAGGCCTTATGTCAAGTCTCTAAGGTTGTCATAATATTAAACTGTACCCCTATCATTCCTGACAGGTATGTGTCTAATTTCTTCTTGTAGAACCCTTATGCTTATTGAAATGCAGGATATCAGCTGGGACCTCCCAGATGCTGAGTGGAAAGGACTGTTTCCTTTGCCACGTGCATGTTTTTTAAACAGTAATGTAGAGTGGAGCACAAAGTCCTATAGAATTTCTCTTTCAAGTTCATGACAAAATTCATCTGTGATTATCACTGCTGCCATAAAAATTGAACTTAGTCTGAAAAATTGTTTGTTTGTTTAAATTAACCCTGAGACATCAAGCAGTTTTGAATTAAGATTATCCTTAACTGCAGAGCATGGAAGAACTAGAGAAAACCAATGAAAATCTTCTAGCTGGTGCACAAAATGAACTTCGCAAAGAAATGGCTATGTTGCAGAAGAAGATTATGATGGACACTGTAAGTATCAGGTTTACGAAGAACTTAAGTTAAATACAAAAATAGAACATTCTGTAAAGAAGTCATTTGACATTCATTTAATTAGATTAAGGAATCATTGGTTTGGCATTTGTTCAGTATTATCTCCTTTTCTTGTAACAGCAACAGCAGGAGATGGCAACTGTTCGCAAGTCTCTTCAGTCCATGTTATTCTGATGGCTCAATGGAGAAACAACTTGTACCTAAGTAACATGATACAAGTATAGGCATTAGCCGTAGAGAAGTTACCTTGAGATGATTTAAATGTTTTAAAGTTCCTATTAAATGCTTTAATGGATTGTTCTAACCTTATGTCTGATAATCTTTTGAGAAGGCATATTGGGAAATTTATTACTTTGGGGAGGAGGGAGAGGTAGCAAACCCTGAACTAATTCCTGTCTGTCCAATATTTAACTACTTAATATGCACTTTCAATAGCATTGGACTGTTTGCATTGTTTCACTTTCTATAATGCCAAATTCAGGCAGAATTGATGAAAAATGCATTCCCTAAGTCTTATATAATAACTTTAGACATTGGTGCACTACAAATAGAAGCCTTTTTCAAAGGCTACAGATTCAAGATTTTCGTAGTTTCAACATCTAGCCTCCTGAGCTGTCAGCAGTTATAAGGGTTCATAGACTATGACATAGCTCATGTAAGATTGTTTAGTGATGTGTATTATAGTAAATTAAATCATTAGGCCTTTTATCAGTACAGGCATTGTAATATCTTTGTACCAGTAAGATTGATGAACTGTTATTTGTCCAAATGTAGGTTTCTTTAGTTGCACAATGAGCTTAATACCACAGCTTTACATGACATCTGCTAAAGTAAGCTTAATTAAATTCATTGCTTAATTAATTCATTGCTATGAATTTCTTGTAGACCACTGCTGAAGAAATCTAGCTCACTTATTTGGTACAACCTATTAAAAGGCTTGAGACGGAATAATAATTTTTGCAATTTCAAATGATTAGCAGTTCAGGGAGGCCTGATTTAAGGATAAAGCATTTATCTTTCATGTATCTCATTACAGTCAATCAGTACAAATTAAACAGCCAGACTAGCCTGTGTGCAGTTTGTTTTTATAGCAAGCCATTATGTCCAAATATCCACTTTTACAAATTAGGCAGTTCCTAAAATACTTAGTTGTTAGACTGAACATAATCGTAGATAACACAAAAGCCACCCATACATGCAAATGTGGTGATTTTATAACAATGTATTTCAAAAGCAGTCCATACAGCTTCTTCTCCTGCAGAATCCAGTTATCTGATGACAGTTCATAGGTTTGGGGAGGCAGATTAGGGATAGCTAAATTTTCTGTTAGCTTGCAACTGAAGTTGAGCAAGTAACCTGTATGGAGCTGTTTTGTTCTGTGTCTGACAGGACTCAGACAGAGCAAACACAGAAATTACATTGCTAGAATGATGTATGAGGTAGTATGGGCGTGGTGGGAATCAGGTAACTACTGCTGCTGATTTGAGCAGTGGTGCTCAGGTTCAGTATTTAAGGATGACTACATGATGCCACAAAATACAGTTTAAACAGTTTTTGCTTCCAATCTTCAGTACTAGGTTGTTACTATTATTTTTTTTTCTGATTTCTGCGGTAGTTTCCTATCATTTAATTTCTTTACTTCTGTCATATCTTTAAAAGCACTTATACCTTCTACTACATTACATTTTTGAGGTTTCAGGGGAACCAAACCGCCTCATCCTAAGAAGTTGCCTATGCATGTGCTTTTACCAGGTGATTAACTTTTTTATAGCATTCAGACAAACTGAATTGGCCTTCACCATTTTCCCTTTTATTTAGAGCCATGACCTGCATTTAGGTTAAGTTCAGGTGTAGATGCTGTGTCTTTCCCAGCCTTGAACAGGAACAGTAGGGCTCATCTGGAGAGGACTGAACTCCTAATCTATATTTAATTGGCATGCTGCTCCTTTGGCAGTAACTTGTACAAATATCCCTCTGATATGTCACTATTTCCTTCTTAGACAGAAATGTAAACTTTTTTTCCCCACTTTTGAACTTCTTTGAACACCTCAGGCAGTCTTCTTAGATTAACATGTAGCAGCTAGGAAGCTGCAGCAGTAATATTTTTAAAACAAATTATAGCATTCTTTATTGTACAGTTCAGGAAGGTATTTATGAACTTACAGCTCAGCTACATGGCAGCAAATAAAAGTGGTAACGAACACTTACGTTCAACAGCTTTTTTACAAAAATAGTATTCACATATCACCTCTTTGAAGGAGCTTGAGCTTAAGCTGCATTTGTGTGCAAAGTGTGATTTACTAGCACAGACAATAAGCTACTTTTATTCAGCTTTTTGCTAATGAAAAGAAGAAAGGCTGATACTAGGCCTGACTGTCTCTTTTGGAGAGTTTTACTATGCAGTGGATTTTAGTTCCTTGCAGTTTTGTTTGGATAAAGTACAGTGGTAGTGACAAGACAGATTACAAGGTAAATTAATACAGCAGTAGCAAACATACTTCAGAGGGAATTAATTATACATAGGTAGGTTGCATTGTCACAGTTAAACAGTCACTAAAGTTTGTCAAAGAACTGATTCATTCAACTTGTGCAGTTTCACAGACATAAATTAAGGTAGGTAAAGCCAGTGTCCTCACAGTACCCAGCTACCTACAGTCTAGATAATGGAGCACAAGGAGGCAAACCTTATTATGGCCACAAAACCAGAAACCGTACTTGGAAAAAAAATAACCAAGCTACAACTGTTACTGAGTAACAGCAGGTTATATACTTAGAGACCAGAGACTGCATGAATCCTATAGGCACTCACAACGGTATTTTGGAGTAGAGGGTAGTTTCCCTGTTCCATACTTCCTCCATCCTAATACCAAAACATTACTAGTTTTACCTCATGGATGCCTCACTTTAGCAGCTTTGACAATGCAGAACTGTATTCATTGATGCCTCTGACTACCACTTCACAGCAGAAGACTTTAGAAACTAATGCTAGAAGATTAGTCACTTGGTCTAAGAAAAAATGAAACTCCTCTTAGAATTCTGGTTGGTAGCACCGTGGTTTGCAATTTACATTCCCCAGACCAGAACATTATTAAGGTTACCTAACAGGAAACAACAAAAGTTTCGATTGTAAAGTAACAGCTGCAATATCTAGAACATAGGGGGAAGTAGATCCTGGTTTAAAAGTATTAATCACAATAAAATCTGCAGGACTTTGTATTTAGTAATTCTAACATCTGGTAATATCTGGGATAGTATGAGCTTTCTCCCAACACTAGTTTATTGAAAAGCTTAAGCTGTCTTCTCAAAAAGAGAGGCTGCTTCATTCAACATTCCCCTAACTGCTTTTCTTCTCCTTGACCTATTTAATCAGTCATTATGGTTTTGAACCTGTTCAGGAGCTTGATGAGATGAAATTCTGAAGACATGTATATGAAGATGAGCAGCGATCTGTAGGCATACAGCAGTGGCATATCTCAGCATATCAAACAAGGATATGAACTTCAAAAAAACAAAAATGGAACAGGTTAAAAACAAGTATTTTTCAAAGCTATTCCAGCTATGCTTTGATCAGAATATACCCAATTTTAGGAGGCATGTTAGCATTACGATATACAGTAGTCTACTTTAGAAGAAGAAAAACAAACAGCACTAAGTGCTTACCGAAATTTGACAAACAAGGTTAGTCTACAGTTAGCAGAGTAGCTTTAAACAAACCACCTGAATTAAAGCATAATTAGAAGAGAGATCTGTCATTTTACTTTCAGATCTCCGTTCCAAGGAAAGAAAGCCAGCTAGCTCCTAAAATATGTATTTACACAGCATCCTGGCATTCCTCCCACAATGGCAGGTGAAATTGAGCAAGTCCAAAATGGCAGAGCAGAATGTCAGAGACAGTTCTCAATCCATTCCTTTAAATATGCACCACATGAAAAATACAAAGCAAAATGCTTACCAGTGCTATCCATAGAACAATATATTCATCAATGAAACTGTTGAAGTACTGGTCCAAAAACAGAAGTCCTGGCCCAATAAATGCAGTGTCTTGAAGACAGATCTCGCTTTTTGTCATGTGAGCCACCTATTTAAAAATAAACAACACAACCCACAGAATGCACTGCTGCAACATCACTGTATCTACCAGAAAGCTTCCACCTGAGTTGCGAGAAAACACAATGTCCTCACCCATCAGCTGCCTGCTCCAAAGGGGCCTTTGGGAAATAAGCAGAAGACAGGCCAAGGGCTTCACAAATGCTCCAGAGCCTGCTGCTCTGACAGGCTTTATTTTAAGGGCCAAATAACCTTTTTCCAGGTTACTCAATCAATATGTAGCACTTTAATGAGTGCTATCAGTTATTTCAATAATCAGTATATCTTGACTATGTAAAAAATCAGTACAAAGGTCCTTCAGTGTTCTTTTGTAATACAGTTAATTACATCTATCTCCGTGCATTTTAGCTATTTGACTGAGTTCCCCGCTCTTACTTTTTAAGTGCTGTACTGGAACGTCTCCATCCAGCTTCACACCCTGGCACAGCTAAAGAGGCTTTTACTTCAGTTTCCTTACTGCAGTGAGTTAAGAACAAGACCTGCAGTAAATATCAGAAAAGTGGGGGAGCTAAACCGGGCAAAAGCCTTTCCCCACTGCTTGTACAGATTTGCCTCTGGAGCAGACTATCCTCAAAGCTATGCATAAGGCATCAAGGCAAAACATGCTTTGCTTAGAAGCATCTGGCTGACATACAGTGATGGCTGCATCTTGAGAGGACCCAATGACCCTCTGGAAGAGCACAGGAGCCAAGGTATTTGATCAATGAATTGCCTCAAGTTCAATCTTAATGCTCAGTCTTCTTAACAAGAGTTCTCTTGAACCAAGTTAGTAATGTAGACAAGTAGGTGAATTCCTGTTTAGCTAGAAAGCCTGCAGAATACCCGTTTTAGTTTTGTTGTTTTTCAACACATTGACAAGGTTATTAGTTACAAAAGAGATAAAAGGTAGATACATTTATCTTCTCATTTTAATAAGGATGTAAATTCAGGTCTTATAATTAAGTCAGAAGTCATGGCACTGCTAGTTAAGGCAGTGACTGCATTTCTAATGTTAAAGTCAGTGTATAAACTACAATTTATTTCTAGGAGCAAGCTAAATAAAACCAAAATTTCTAACCAATACATTGATTTATTTTTTTTTTTTTAAATCGGTATCATATATAATAATCTCTCTGGAGGAGCCTGAGTCTATTTCAGTGTATTGGTCATAATGAAACTGGTAATAGGGAGGCAGGGCAGAACAGGAAAACTTGCATGATGTTCACTGATTCAGAAAGTAAGAGTTAAGCCAGGAAGCAGTTTGTTTAGGACTGAAACAAGATTACTTACCACTAACTTCTGTGAGATTTTAGCATTCACAAATCCAAATGTCAAGACATACAGACAAGGATGTTTTTCAAACAGCTGGGTTGCAGATTTCTTATAGATCACAACAGCCAGTGTGATAAGTAGCCCAATGTGGACGCCTGGTGAAAGAACACTTGTTCCCTGAAATAAAAAGGAACAGAAAACTCATCGTCAGCTTCAATCACACCGTTAAGATCAACGTTTTACAAATATTACAACACCCACTAAATAAAAGTAATTAGCATTGTCAAAACTCAGGGAAAGTCCATTTGCATTGTGCTAATACTATTAGCATTCTTTATGGTGACCTTTATGTAATTCTGTAAGAAAAGTCACTGCTGGTTCCTGTGACGGAAGAAATCCAGGAACAGGAAGAGAGCAGATAGGTACTGAAGTATTTGCTTTAGCCATCAAACACTCCAAACGACACATGAGTATCGTTAAGGTGTGAAATTCATATCCTTATCTGCTTACATGCTTAAACTGATAAAAACCCTTATGATTATCTGAAGACCAACAAATTATGGGCGTAACTTACTGCTATTGTAGATCCATTCTTTCCAACCCCTCCACTGAAGATGACACGGAAGTAATTGAAAAAAGAAAGCGCTGTTCCACACAGTATGCCAAAAACCACAAAGAACTTCAGCTCTAAGCCTACTAAATGGACCTTAGCAAGAAAAACAAGAAAAAGATAGTAAAGGTCAATCGTAAGAGTGTTGTTGCTGTGGTTTTTTTTGTTTGTTTTGTTTTTGTTTTTAAGAAAAGAAGTGATTAAAAAAAGCTACTGAAACCTTATAAGCAATCATTTTATTTGAACTATTGCTTTCCTGGGAATAAGCTCTGGAAGACAGTATTTGGAATTTGTTTCCTTATTTAGAAGATGTCAAATTTCTTTTGGAAATGTTTAAACTCAACTTTTGAGTATTCAAGTTCTGGTTTTGAAGTTGAGCTAGATTTTCCTCTGTATATCCTTATGTAGTAAAAACGTTTGAAAAACATTACAAGCAAAAAACTTGACACAGACTACTGCCTCCCCAGGACATTGGAGGGGCAGGAAGGATAGATCCTTCCATTTCAGTGGCTGAAACAGTATTGAACTACAGAAAACACAAACACCATCTGCCTGCTTTCTGTTTTGATGCGTGTTGTTTGTATGCTGTATCTTTGCATTTAGGAAAATCTCCAGATAAAAAATTCAGTTAAACAGTTACCTTCAGAATCAACTGCAGTTTCAAGGAAACTTCCAAAGGTAGCAGAGGATTAAAAAAGTAGCAATAAATTGAAACCACTGATTATATTTTTGAACATAGATTGTTTTGAGAAACAGCATAACTACCACAGATTTACTGCTGAAGAAGAAACAATTATAATTCACTACTGTTTAAATTTTAATGTACCTACTTCATTTAGCAACACAAAGATATGCTGTTTGGAAACAAAGAAAAAAAACCTTACAGGATGGAAGAGGGAAACAAAGTTCATCTAAACATTTCCTAATGACTGTGCAAACTGGTGAACTAATTTGAATTAGTTGGTGGTTTATACTTCGATCAATATCCATGGGTTATCAACACCATGGAATTGTCTCAGATCTTCTGTTTCCTATGACCAAACAGAACTATTTATTACTAAGTAAGGATACTACAGAAGATGAAGATGTTAGTCTAATATACTTTTGATGCATACTGAAGTGCATCGTTAAAGATCAAAATAAAAGCCAGACAGAAAACTTTGTTTGTTTGTCTTGGACAGAAAACAATTCTTTAAATATAGGTATTTACATTTATGTCAACTCTGACATTACCCATTAAAAATCAGTACATCTCGACTGACATGAATCTGAATTACTTCATCTCATAGTGTTGACAGATTAAATGCATTAATCTTTCAGTTTTAAAATCAAGTTTTCTAAAAATAAATATTGATCCTAAATATAGAATCAATAAAATGATCCTATAGATCATTTAGCTGAACAAAAATGTTTGTCTTATAATAAAATACCCGAAGGAAAACTAAAAAAAAAACCAACATGTAAAAGCTTCAGTACAAACAGAACAGTAGTAGAAGATCAGAAGTTTATATACGGCAGATGGGGTCTTTTTCCCTCTACACAGCTCTAAATTTGTGTATAGGAAGTCACGGTTATATCTAAGTTAACTACAATGTAAATAAGCTGTATTTGTACTAGAAGCCAAAACAGAATGCTAGAGAACTAGAAGGGGTTGATCACAGTTGCACAGGATGGCTTCAAATGCCGTAGGAACTGGCAACTCTCAACAGGAGCTCCATACACCACAGGAACACTGCATACTTAATACACTTACCTTATAGTCCCATATTGCCGTTCCACCAAACGCTGATATCAAAAGCAGCAGTGTTATGGCTATCTGAACTTCAGTTACATCAACTCTAGGAAGAAAAGAAAAGAATAGAAATTTAGTTAAAAGAAAGGTTCTGTTTGCTTTAAGTATAGTGGATGGGGGCGGGGAAACAGTTATTTCAAATACCTCCACCCAGTTATTTCAAATTACCTCCTCAAGCCATGAAATGAGTAAGGAATATGACTTTCCTTGACTGAGAAAGATACTCTATCTGGAGGCACACATCTTTGGTTAACCTTTAAAATTAAACCTATAAGCCTATCTAGAGCAAGCTACATAGAATTTTAATAGGGGAAAAACGTGCTTAATGAATACGTTGTTAACTATTTTAGAATTCTGAATAAATTACAGACTTCTTGGGTAAGTAACAAATCAAGGTTAAACGTTAAGGCAAGCTCATAGTCAAACATTTCTATTAATAGCATATCATACAGAAGTAGGGACCATGAAGAGCAGAATGGGACAGAAGGCATTTCTTTACGCCATTGTATCATGACAACTTGACAGATACAGCCTGCAAAACATAAGGGCAGTATTTTGAGGACTGAGTTAGTGGATAGCTGAACATCTGTCATCTTCCAGAGGTCGTAACTGGCACAATGCCTTCTGCCTTAAAACATTTTATAAAACAGGTGGCCTTGTATACCTTCTAGACTCTGAATTCCACCTTTTTTGTTCTCAGACAAGACAGCCTTACTATCTCTGATCACTGAATTGTTTTATTTTGAGAAGATGTGAATATGTAAAAACAAAACAAAAACCACACACAAAAACAAAACCAAAAAACCCTACAAAACTTACAAAAACAAAACAAAGCAGCACAGCAGAGGCTCAAGAGGAAGACACTTTCAAGAGAGAGTCAATACTTTCCATACACCTTTTCAATAAATAAATAGTGCATGTCTAACGTACTGTTTATGCTAGTGAAGGTTTTTAGATAGGTACTGGATCTTTGTACTGAAGTTACTGGCAAACAGTAAAACTGGACGTTTAAAATGTGACATTCTCTTTAGCAGTTAAACAGATTTGCTATTTTAAAGTACTGTGACCAAAGTCAAGTTGTTTTGTTTCTTGCTTAGCATGCAAACGATCCGCACAGAAAACAGTGTATTTTAAAAAGGAGATAGCAATCAGCTTTCGGCTGATGGAAAACATTTATCTGATCTTGACACTCACAGTAACGTTAAGCTTTCAAATGAAAGACAGTGATAAAATATGCAAAGTTCCACCACAAATTTCAGAATCAGTCTTAGAAGAGCCATTAAGTCACAACCAGATGCCATGCTGAGGTGCTCGTCACTGCTCAAAGCTGTAAGAACGGGCCATCCTCTCTCCCTCCTGTGCCATTCTGTTCCCTCACTTCTGGCTGTAGTACTAACCAGACCACGAGGTGCCAGCAAGCTGCACTGTTTCCTTGTGCAAGTTTTTGTTTTCTGCCTGTTCAGTGAATTGGCTCCAAGTCAATGACATGAGCACGCTGGGGAAATAGGACAGTGCTGCTGGGAGTGGGCTTTTCCTCTACCTTGGTTACTGCTGCAGATGCACACTGAGTTTGTCTGTTATGTCACACAAACATGTTCAGATGCAAATTCCAGTGTTCAGACTTTGCACTCTGAACAATTAAACCCGGATTTCTGAGCTGTACAGTTTTTATTGTTGGAGGGGAAGGAGGCTTGAACTCCCGAGTTGAGTCACTGCATGTGCCAAAGTTTAGTCTTTAATTTTACAGAGGCTCAGACAGTTGATTACAACACAGCCCAAATTTAAGTCCAAAGATTTTATCAGGCAAGACATTATTCTACATAGCCTGACAGTGGCATGGCATCCAGCTGCTCTGATCCTGGCCACCAATGGTAAGACTCACCTGGCATTTAACTTCCAAAATCAAATACCACTAATTCAGGAACAGTATCAATGAAAGCTTCCATTCATATTACATATTATCATAGTTAGAGCTGTAAACTATTGCCTTCATTTAGACTCACCTCTATGCTTAAGAAAGTTGTGAGCCTTGAAAAAAATCTGATTTGCTTTCACTAAACAGAAATAAATTATCTTGGAGGAAAATTGTGTCTGCTCAGCTTCACACAAGAAGCATGGAATACCAGGCCACTCCAAACTGCTTGTACTGTGCATTAGCACTGTATTTACACAAAAGCCACTAAGGTTTTAGGAAAGAAGTTTTATGTAGTATCGGAGCCTCAGTGCCTTCTTAACAGGGTGAAAACATTCTCATATTTTATTCAGGAATAAAAGGCACAGAAAAACAATCATTTGTATAAAATCCCTGTGCTTACAGCATACTCTATTTCCATTGCAGTCCACTGTCATGTACAGAAGTTACCCTCCTTCAACCATCACTCTAAAAAAGTATCTGTTTTTGTCTATAGATATCCTTTAAAAAAGCAGGATGTGTAAGTGGGTACAAGAGTCTGTGTGGCAGAATGCATTAACAGCAAGTTAAGGATCTCTTAACATTACCGCAGAGGCAGCTTGCTTGGGAGATAGATGCCAAACAGCATGCAAAGACAGCTGACCACTGGCCTGCATGACCAGCAATGCTCTGATGTGCTGAGGTGCTTCTTGCAGGACAGAGCTAGCACACAGCTCAACCAGGACAACCAAGATTAATTACCACAAGGACAGCCTTCATCTGTCACGTTTCAAATACTGCCGTGAAGGATGTCGCTTTTCCTCTTTTAAGAAATCACTAAAGTGCAGCTCTTTGTTTAAAGACAGCAAAAGACCATACTAGGCACCACCACGGCTACAGGAGGGGACAGCATTCCCCACACAGTTAAATTGAAATTGGTATCTTTTATATGATTGTCAGTGGCCCTTGCTCCTACAATTTAGTGAGAACAGACTCAATTTCTACAGTCACGAACAGCATCACAGAAGTCACTAGAACTGTGAACTAACACAAAACCTCATAGACATCAAAGCCAATTATGAACCAGATTAAAAGCAAAATCGTCAAATAAACCTGGGGTAATTCTTAAGAACACTGGCATAACTGTGGAACTCCCTTGCTTAGGCTTGTGCTGGATACAGAGCTTGTTCAAAGGAAACTGAACATGTTTGTAGAAGAGAAATGTATTTATGACTAGGGAAAATTCTCTAAAAATTCATGTGGTTCAGAGTCCCCTGGGCTGAACCTGTTCCACGTCAGGGAGATTATGAAGAGAGAGAGCACAGATGCTTGCTCTGTTCCTATTCCTACACAGGGCACTTGTTTACATTGTGGGCAAGACAGCTCTGGCCTGCATGGTGCTTGTATGGGTTCCATAAACAAATCCACAGGCAAGAGCCAAATGCATGCAAACAAAGCATATATAGCTAAAATCAGCTGCTAACAGAACAAGTCCTGTGCACAGTATAACTCAGAGTTTTAAAGTTCTTGCCAGGTAAAACACAAGGCTGCTAGGGCAGAAGTGAGATAAGGAAGCAGGTGATAGGAATATAGAGCAGGGAAAAAAAAAAAAAAAAAAAAAAAGGACAAGAAACAGAAATCAAGTAGCTAGCGGCCCCAGACATTGTCACAGGTAGTTCTAAAGATACCTACTTACTTTCCAAACCTTAATGTGCCTGATACATATGTCTGCCAGTGAGCAGAATAGAACATGAACAGTCCCACAAAACAACAGAAAAACAACCAGTCAGGATTTGTTCCTAGTCGGATTGCTATGCAGGATCCAAGGACAACAAAAACTGAAAAGCAGAAATGAACATGTTAGTCACATACCCTCTTTGCTTGCAGTTAAGAGAAATTAAATCACAAGGCATTTTACATCACTATAACAAAAATAATTGTATGACTGATACTTCAATAAGTAGCTAACATCAGGGACAGTCCTGTTGGGAGAGACCCAGCCACAGGACTCCTGTTCTTCAATAGGAGGGCCACACTTTCCAGCCTACAATGGTCGTTCCCTCTGTGGGCTCTGTCATCTCGTCATCTTTAGGTCACAGACACAGCTCCAACAGCAGGGCCCAGCTTAGGGAGACCAGTAGTTATCTGTGTGCTGGGAACTGAGGCATAAAGAACATACCAGCTCCCAAGGCAAACATTTTGGCCATTAAGCTGTTGTAGGAGTGCTACCAGAAGGTATTGCCACCAACAGCAGCTAGGTTATGGAAAGTAAAACTGAGTAAGGCTTTTTCAGGACTCCAAACCAAATTTTTAAAAATTCATTCTTACAAGGAACATAAATCCTCCTCCTAGCCACCAGGCTGGATGCCCTACTACCCAGATGATATTTTGGAACCTCTTACTTAAAGCAGAGCCCTTACTTTCATGTGCCAACGTCAGTGTTTCATGCACTTAAAATCCTCTTAGTGAATATTTTGTTCATCACCGAGCTCATTCAAAGCAGATGAAGATGTCCAACCAGTAAGAGCAGACTGTGTATTACCCAATACCTGCTAAAGGTACTTCTGAAATATCCTCCCTGATACTGGTCAGGGATGCAAAGGAGATGATGGAGCTATCCCAAAAGAAGGGAACAAGCTGATGCTGCTCTGAACTGGAGTAAACAATCTCTAGAGGTTCCTTCCAATTTCAAGTCTGTGACTAGTCAGCTCCTCTTGAAAACAGGCAACATTTTTAAAACTAGGATGGTAACATTAGATTAAGGCTACCTGTGGAAATAGAGTCGCAACCATGATCAAAGAGTTCTCCTAGAGGAGAACTACTGTTTGTTCTTCTCGCTTGCTTCCCATCAATGGCATCCAGCGACTGGTAGATAAAAAGTCCTAACGCACCCAGGATGTATGCCCAAAAAGGTGCCTGAAAGAGATTCGTGTAAAAGGTCACTAGGCAGTTCCCAAATCCTTAGCCAATAATCTACTTCATTAAAAGTAAAATATCATGCAGCACAGAACTATACTACATGGTGCTGGTTGCTGCTTCATTAATGGACAAACCAAATTATGTGCACTAGTCTCTTTGTGAGTTGTAGTAACTACTGTGTGTAGTAACTACCACAATGAACTATTACAGGTACCCCAGGGAAACAGAGGTCTTTCTATTCTTATTTTAAAATGCAAAAACAAACTTTAGTGCCCTTTCTTATTTTTCCACCTTAAGACTGCAGTATTTCTATTATTGTTGTATGCTTTGTGCTGAAAAATGTTATGAAAGTGAAACTAATTTTAAGAAAGAAAGTAGTAGCAAGACACTTATGAACCTTCTCAGCAGTTCACGTGATAGATACCTGGATCATTTGCTCAGATTTACAACATATAGGTATTAAAACCCCTTACAGTTTACTAAATAAAAGACTTGAGCTCTTACGGAAGGTGTTTTTTTCTTTTTTTCCCAACATACACGAACTGAATATGTATATACATTTTGGAAATTTAAATGAAGAAATGAAACCATTCACTAAATATGAACAAGCTGCTATCTGGTTGATATTGACTATTAGAGTTTCGAAACAACCTGTGGATCAGCTACATTAACACTATAGGTTCAAATGAATCATCCTACACACTAGTACCTTTCAAATGCATAATTTTCATACACGAAGTCAGTATGTCTTTGTTTGTCCAGGAATTTGTTTTTACTAAAAATTACTTCCAACACTCTCGAACAAAATCCTGGTTACACGTTTGCCTCAAGTGGATTCCAGCGATATCCTTAACATATGGATGTGCTGTTCATGAAGAGAGCACTGAAGTTAGGTATGAACGTTGGAAATGCAATTTACAACTTAAATAAGTGAACGGCCACAAAACTTAATTCTTTTCCACTCCCAGGTAAGAGGCCGCTGCTCCAGCTTCACACCTCTACAGTTCCTCTCCTGCAGTGCAAAGAAACCAATACAATTTTGTGTTTTTCATAAGCCTAGTCACAGCTATCAGAGACAACTGCTCAAACCTCTCAGTGAGCTGAGGCTTGTCCCTGTTCAGATGGACCCAGTGCCACTGTTGGGGAAAAGCAAAAAATTACAATTGCCACTCCGTTTATTGCAAGGGACAGGGGAAGGCAGCAATAAGAACACAGATGCCATGAGCTGCCTCTCCAGCCAATTCTTCCTCCTCATCATTGTACTCCAGGATTTTCCTTACAAAAAGTTATGCCTCAAGTTACATTGGTCACAAAACGCCCTTCCCGAGAGTGGCCCTTAAGAGAGGCTCAGTTCTGAGCCTGACAACAGCCGTAGCTTTTTATTTCAGACTTCCTCATGTATCAAAGGCTGCGTGTTGTCACTTTTTTTTTGTGATTCTAATATGGAAAAAGTATTGACAGCAAATTTGTGTTTTTCCTGCTACCTGTTACTTGGATAATTTCCTTAACTAAACATTCCTCCATTTGAAGTCAGAAAAGTTGGGCTGCTTCACCCAGCTTTGAAGCAACAGCCAGAGAATTAGGGACTCCAGTTATAGGTAGGACGTTTGGATTTGTATGTACATACAAATCAAGAAAAGTCACAACACTATTCAAAACTGGCCAGGCCATCTCTCCCCAAGGAAACCAAGAAAAAACTGTTAGTCACAAGTAAAGTTGGAAGCCTTGAGCAGGTGAAAGAGGGTTAGTATACACTTGCATGCTGATATTTAACGTAAGGTATGGGACAGAAACAAACAAACAAAACTCAACAAAACACCAAAGATCACACTACGGAAATTCAGGTCAGGTGATGACAGCAATATACACTTGGTTGTTACCACTGGAATTAGTCCAGGTGTTTTAGGTTTCTTCTCCCTTGTCAGTCCAGTTCAACTGAAAGTAATTTTTATTTTATTTTATTTTGGTTAAACCAGGGAGCGAGTTCCTAGTTTGTTTTCTGAAAAAGTTTATCTCCTGTAACGAAGAGGACAGAGCCTACCAGCAGCAGGAGGAGTCCACTGGAGTGGTGGCTCAGTGAATGACAGAGCTGTGGGTAGGAACCGAGGGCCCCAGGGCCGCCTTTGGTTTGAGCTCATTTGGGCACACGTCCTGCAGGGAGGCAGCAGCTACAAGAATGGGCTGTCCACCACAGGTCAGCGTTTCAAGAGGTAAAGGCACAGTTAGGACCCTCTGGAAGCTAAGATCATTTTACTTGTGACATAATCCACATACTAAAGGTACCAGAACAGCTATACGGGCTTCTGCAGAGTAACTCTGCTCTAGGGAGAAAAACAGATATTCTCCAACAAGCCAGCTCCTGACACAGATTTATGGCTGAAGCTCTACGAGCAGAAAGGCTGAGAGTTTCATTACGGACATACGTTGGAATAATGATTGCCCAATTTTATCACCGATATCACTTTGATTGTTCGCAGGGTTTTACGAGGCGCCCCGTGCTGTGACATACTCCAACAAGCTACAGAAAGCTAGCTTTAGATCTATCGACACTTGTCACGGTAATCCCAGGATCAGGGCAAGAAAACCAGGCCATGCCTGGCAGCTCTGCCCCCGCCACCATGGGTTTCCTGGACGCCTGAGGCTCAGATCACCTCTGAAGCCAAATGCCAGCATCTGGGCAGGTTCCCATTGAACCGGATCATTTCCGTAACTGAAACAACAATCAGGAACAAAAACCTGTTGTGTCACGTTTTTTTCATCACTAGCTGTAAGGTTCCACGCCCATGTTTGGTATTATCACAGTGTTTTGAAAGGCAAGCTCCAAGAAACACAGCCTCAGTCCTAATGAGGACAGAAAGGTTGCTCACTGGTTGCTGCCATCCGTTTATGAAACAGTTTCCACAGCTCCACGATACGTGACATAAGGAATCTTCTTCAAGGTAACATCGTCAATGTTTACCTTACCTTACACCTCAAAAAAGCAAAGCAGCTTCCAGTCTGGCCTCTCTATTAGATCTTTTGGCAAAAAAGGGCTCGTGTCCGTTTGCAAGTTACATGACAGGCACAAGCACCAAGACCACTCACCCAAGCCTGCTTGCCTTGGCATCTGCTGGGATGCACCAAACCAACCAGCCCCCAGGCTCCAAAAACCAAGACAACCCTCTGTGAGGAGGGGAGGATCCCATTAAGAGCAGGAACAGCAGCATCTGAACTGCCAGAGGGCTTAGAAACATGATCTGGAGCATTGCATCCCTGGGCTCTTGGTTCAAATTGAACCCAAGGCAGCAAGGACCAAAGACCCTTTTCGTCAGCTACGCATTTAGCGGGTTAAATGGATGGACAATCCAGGGATGTCCCCGGCCACCTTCCCACGTTGGGCCCAAGCAGTTCGCAAATGAGAGAAGTGGGAGCGTTTGAGAATGCTGACACAGCTCACAGACCCGGCAGAAAGGTCAGGAGGCTCCCAGTAACCATCAGCTTGCCACTGATGAGGTGTTTATTATCTCTGCCCCAAGTTATATCCTGTCCAAGCAAATGCACTATTTGGCCAGAGCCGGATGCTATTCTAATAGAACTAGGAGAGAACACAGATCCTGATGGGAAGAAAATATGAATAATAATAAAAAAAGCTTCTCTGCTTAAATTAAAAGGGGTGTCTGAAAGATTATACAGCTCTAGAGTCTTGTCAAATGCAGGTCTGGTACAGGTCAGGTCACCTGCTGAACCTGAGGGTATCACACCGGTGTTTAAGGATGCCAGGATAATGCACAGTTTGACAGGACCGTGCAGGATGCCTTGCCTTCTGGAGAAGGCGTAGGTTGGAGAGCAGTCCTCGCAGAGCCTCCCGCTCATGTGACAGCACACTATGGGAGAGCACAGGAACAGCTGCAGAAGACTAGATATGCTGAGAAGATCCTTCAATGCTTTTTTCAAGATTCAAGCCCTGGGAGTTCAACAGCCTGAGTTTCTGCAACGCTTGACTATTTCCGTCCCTCTCCCCTCCCTTCATTACACATCGTATTCAGTCATAATCTCATTTCCTCAGTCCAACAACACAGCCCTAATTTTGCTCTATCTTAGCCATTTTTATGGAACTTCCTCCTCCTTCCCCCAAAAAACGTGTATTGTTTCTCTCACTTCTCAGCATGAAGCCCTCCATACAACCGGACTAACAGCAACAGAAGGGAAGAGGCTCTTCAAATCTGCATTACAGCAAGGTGAGGAAAAAAAAAGTCATAGTACAGCCCAAGTACATTTCATGACTCCCTGCATTCCTCCAGCACCCTCCTCTCCCCAACAAGCTCCCTCTGAAAGAGCTTCTGTCCTTTTATCCCAGGGTTTCCTGAACCTTGCTGTCTTCTTTTATGCCAAATAGCAATTATTGCCATTCACTCCTGGAGCACTTTGTTCTTCACTCCTTGGGCATTATATGGATTCCCCATCCCAATCAGTGCTTCATGCCTTTCCTCTGCCTGGCCAAGAGCTTCTTCCCTCATGGCCCCCAGGATCTCAGTCCCTACCAGTTGCTCCACTGCACCCTCTTACCTGCTTCTTTCGTCTCTCCCGCAAAGCTCCGTTGTGCCCTTTCTATTTGCAGTGCCATGCCTGTCAATGCCTTCCCTCCAACAGGGGGAAATAAATAAACAGGACAACCCTGATTTCAGTTTAAAGGGTTTATTTTTTAGGTTTTGTTGTTGATGTTTTTGTTTTGAGGGAGGTCTTAAAAGAGAGAGAAACAGAGACAGCGCTCCACCAACATTATTCTCCCTCCAAGCAGCAAATAGTAGGGTCAGCTGCAGTCATCTGGCTCCTCCCCTGCTTTTTGGTCTCTTTGGCCTTACAGTTTTCTAGCTAGCATGCTGCAGCAAGGCACTGCACCCTTTTATAAAGTCACTGTACCATTTTATAAAGCCACTGCTAGAGGATTTCTAATAGATATAAAATCAATACAAAGTTTTAGTTACTGTTAGCATGAAAATCCTATGCTAAAATTCTAGCTCCCCATATATTTACCGAGACCTGTGGCTGAACTCTAAGGTTTAATGAAGCTGGGTCCCTCACTGAGCAACCGTGAGAGAAGCAGAGATTTCTTTCTCTTTCTTAAAAAAAAGCTAGAGGGAAAATTATGTTAAGCCAATTTTCTTCCTAGTGCTGATGCAAGGAAAAAAAACATGTCAGTTTTCCTCAGAATGGGAAGGGGTACTAGGGTTTCCACATGCAAAACCTAATGAAGTAATTGCAGCTACTTCAGAGAAGTCAGCTTGCAGTAGAGTATTTTTCCTGGCAAAACAAGCTGTTCACTAACAAAGGGTGGCATAAATGGAAGTCCTCATGTAAGAAATGCTTCTTCTACACCCTAATGCAGGAAACACACACTGTTCTTCAAGTCAGCAAAACTTTTAATTCTTAAATATTCTATGGTTAGTGTCAAAAAAAAAAAAAAAAAGAAAGGAAGAAAGAAGACAGAGCCTGCAATCACAGTAAGGAAGATACATCAACTCTATACAGAACATGAAAATGTCCCCACCACAGCTGGTATAGCATATTTTATTTCCGTAGGTTGTTGTCCTGCCCTCAGTTACACGGACCGAGTAGGAAACTGGGACAAACACTACAAAAATCTACAGACGTGGATTTTAGTTCCAGCAGTGCTTGAGGAGTGTAGCCTGCTGATGACTCAGGCAGAGATAAGAAGGCTTATGATGAAGTGTGCATTTATAGAATGCAGCAACACAACCCATGCTGCTCCTAGACAGGAAGACATTACTAAAGCAGAGAATATTTATAAAGCCAAAACATGTTGTGTTTCTTCAGTAACTTTCATTGGCTATTGATGCTGATGGAGATGACTGGAGGAAATAACTGCTACACAGTGAGAGGACAAGGGAGCCTTGTATGGTTTTAGACATTAATTGCATTGTGTGTGGCAGGGAAAGTATTGTTAAATTGTTAAAATTCAGTTTCCATTATGTCCTATTTTAGTAAAAGTATAAACAGGCTCAAAACAAAGAATTCAGAAGGCAAAATCATGGAGGGGTAGGTGCCTGTGGGGAAATAGATCCCTCAGTTGTTGTTCTAACAAGTACCTGCGTAGAATCCATTGCAGGGAAACCCCTAAATTGCTGTCTTCTGGCAGCTGGAAGGGCACATCACAGCGAAGAGCTCTGTTTGCAGCATATGCTACCAGCTGCTCTCATAGGGAGCTTGGAGCTAGGTGAAACTCAGGTCTGATCAGGCTTGAGGGTGCTTTTATTCCTAAGACTTACTTTCATGGCTTACCAACTACCAGTCTTACTTGTTTCAGATGGCTTGCACAGACATCAAGACTTCGATGCTTTCGAAGCAGGACTTTTAAAAATGGTTCAATTAAGACTCGTTACGGTAGAAAACCACACAAAACTCTTAAAAACAACAACAAAAAAAACACAAGCCAACCAAACAAAAAATCTGCTTGCTACTTCTTTCTATCTAGTGCTCCTACACTTCCACCAAGAGAACATGACACGTCCTTACTAATCCACCGCATCAGGTAATCAAGACGTGCTCATGAATGGAGCAAGTGGCTTGCCAGCACATCAGGGTGATGTAGAAATGCTCTATCCTATTAGTTCAGTCTGTGATGTGGTCATCTTTAACATGATTTTCAGTTCCCCATTCCCCCTAGCCCTCGCAGCCCACGCATTCGAATTAAAAGTACGAAGAAGGTATTACAATAGTGTATACAACAGCTACTAGTGTTTCAACAGCTTTAGCTTTCTTAAAAAGCCATCCACAGATCCGACATCTTAGGTGGGAGAAAAGCTGAATCATTCCACAAGCAGAAGAGAGATGATGATGACCAAGGGGAGTAGCAAAAAAAAAAAAAAAAAAAAAAAAAAGTCAGTGCCTGCTGCTCACAGTGTGGAGGCAACAGAACTTTTGTCCTCACTCTAAGAGTAAAACAGTAGGAGAAGTCTGGTTTTATAATTGAGATACTGCTTTCTAAACAGAAGTTTGGTCCAGACTGTAGGTTCTTACAAAATGCAGCCTCTGCAATTAAAAAAAGAAAAACATGAAAGTCCCTAAAACTAACCAAAGCTCTCCTGGAAGAAGTCATTCTCTGGATATCTGCAAGGCAACCTTTTTTATGTTAGTAGGAGTCCTCAAAGAAAAAAAAAATTGAACAATAAAGAAAAAAAAAAAGGCTGAAATGAACATCATGGCACATGGCTGGCACAGGACTGATATCTACATCACACAGGTAAGCTGCAGGTATCTGTTCTACAAGCACTTTAAGTTTGAAAGTGCCATTAGAAGATGGCAGCCTGTGGTTTCCAGCCATCCACTCATCTCCACCCTGCTTTCTCCTTACGGTGTGCAAGGTCAGAGTGCAGCTACCTGCTGATGAGCATCGGGGAAGCCATCAGGGTCAGACCAAAGCCAAGTTAGTTTTGACCTGGATCAGTTTCTCAGCATGACTACCACAAACACCTCCTCTAGCACAAAGGAATTAGGGGCTAAGAAGGATGCACCTGCCAACAAGAATACTCACCTCAGTACATCTAAGTTACTAAAAAATACAAAACCACAAACCAACTACCATTTAAGCCCATGAGCCCGCTATAACAGCCACCCTTCTCAGACACAACGACCCTACACAAAACAACCTTCCCCTGACATTTCCCACCGCAACTACCATGAAATCTCTGCACCAGGAAACTGAACGGGCAGGAATCTCTAATGGGGCTCCTAAAACTGCCAGAGAAACACCCGGGGCCACTCTCCTTGAGGGGGGGACACCGAGCCGAGCCTTGCCGTGCCGGGCGGTACCTGCTCGGTGGCGCTGGGGCAGGAGGCGACGAGCGGCAGCGCCGTGAGGCAGTTGAGCAGGAGGCCGCCGAGGGTGATGGCGTTGGGGGCCAGCCACAGCGGCAGCTGCTCCACCAGCCAGGCCCAGTAGGGCTGCAGCCAGGGCTCCAGCAGCGAGCGGCCGGCCGCGCTGTAGCGGTGCTGCTCCAGCCGCTTCAGCTGCGCCGGGCTGAGGGGCGCGGGCAGACCCCAGGGCGCGGCCATCTCGCCGCCTCCGGCTCCGGCTCCGGCTCCGCACCGCCCGGCCAGGGGACGGCCCGGGGACGGCTCCGGGGTCAGGCCGCCGCCGCCGCCGCCGCTCGGGGCGGGGCTGAGGCAGCAGCAGGAGACGGAAGGGGCCGACGCCCCGCGGCTGCCCTGCCTGAGGGGGCCCCGCCAGCCCCTTGCCCTCCTCCTCTTTCTCCCCCTCCGTCTCCTCCGTCTTCCCTCTGTCGGTTCGCTCGCCCCCCCGCAGCTCTCAGCTCACGGCCGCCCCGTTTCAGGGCAGGTGGCCCTCACCCTGCGGCTCCGCCACCCCCGGGTCGGGAGCCCGCAGCCGTCGAGGTGTCGGAGCCCCGCGTGCCTCCCGCCCGCCGCCATTTTCTAGCCCCCCGGGCGCCTGCTTCCCACCCCGGGGTGGGTTGAATCCCTTCGCCCCTGGTGGTTTTCCTGCTAAATATTGTGTTTGTCGCATTTTCTGCTCCCCACATTCGCTTCAGACTCTGGGAGGTAATCAGCGTTGTGCCTGGGGAGCGGCAGTCAGAGTTACGGGGTGTCTAAACACCATATTGTACACGGCTTCTTTTACCTCCTTGACATGCTTAGAGAAGGCACTTCAGAGCGGCTACGCCTTGTGAGAAAGCGTGGCACTTAAAGTTATTTGAATGGGTCACCTAAGCGATTTTATAAATATCCCTGAGTCACTGTGGAGGTAGATTTTTTTAAAATGTGGCCAAGAGAAGATGAGCACCATAGAGTTGTGTGAAAGATGAAGCAAACAGTATAAAATGCAACCTCTGGTGAGGATTATATACCCCAATGGCATCTCCCCAGAATCAGGTGGAGTCACTTTCTAAATTATCCCATTGTGGGCCAGAGGCTGGAGCTTTCTGGCCAGACACAACTGTTTCCTGGACAGAGCAGTTTCCTGTTATTGAGAATAAGCTGATTCTCTTTGTCTGCTGGAGTTAATGTGTTCATGAGTCGCTTTCTCTACTGCAAGGGTCAGGAATGTTTGACATGCACAAAAGGGTGGTTGCAAAATCTCTTGACGCAGTAGGTGTGTCCCAAATTCAGTAAATACTGTAAAATATGGTGACTGGGATTAGGGGCCAAAACAGAGAAGAGAACAACCACCAGGAGATGAAGGGGTAATACATAACGTAATAAAGATTCAATGACGGCCAAGTAGAGAAAGGCAAAATGGAAACACGACATTGAAAACCAGCCAGATCTCCAGTGAACTGGAATCACCGGGTTTGAACAAAGATGAAACTGCTGCTTGCAATTCCTTTTGCGTTACTTTTGTCAAGGAACTTAAAGGTATTGGTATTTATGGAGAGATTGATCAAGCTGTTTGTGATGCCTAGAGGAAAAGAAGAAAAAAATACTGTTTGTAAGAGTTGTAACCAAACCACCATTGAATCCATTTTAGTTATTTTAAGCTTCAGTAGTAGATGTGAAAATAAGAGGGGGGAAAAAAACAAACTAGGAAATGAGTAGAGAACAACATACATTTCCTATTGAATTTATCATTGAACCCAGGGAAGGTTTTTTGTTGGTTTTGTTTGTTTGTTTGTTTGTTTTTATTTTCATAAGTTTCAGTGCACAGAACAAGAGAACACAGAACTTAAACTCCAGTGTGCTTAGACTTCGAGCACTTCCTCAATATTCAGGATATACTTTGGTTTCTAAATGCTGTCTGCTTCAGCAAAGCTGCAGCTTTACTTGTCAGTCAGGAAAGCAAGCCATGAAAACCGAGTGACAGTCAGTATACTGTGCTTAAAATAGAATGCCTTTTGCTCCAGAATCTCAAAACGCCACAAAAGACATTCATAAAATAAGTCTCCCTTAACAATGCTCTGTAAATGTAGCAATGTTATACTTTTCTTCCCCCCCAAAGGAAATACGGGAAGCTTAGAGAAACACTTTTCTTTTTTTTAAAGGAATATTAAAGAAATAAGTAAATCTGTCTCTCAGTGAAGACCTGCTTATGAACCTCCTTATACTGATTCAAGCATTCTTTACCTGATTTGCTTGTGTTTGTCTCTTCCATTTTCTTTATTTGTGACATTATTTTCAGTGAGAAAAAACTGGACTGACACTCGCCATGAGTTTTCAGTGTTAATGGGTGACTACAGTGCCTGTATCAGCTCCACACACAGCTGTTTAAGAAAAGATGCAACTTTTAAGCTGTTTAAGAAAAGATGCAGGATGAAAATTTGTGCAACATTACCATTTATAAGCCAAATGCCCTTTCATGAGCAAGAGGAACAAGCCAAGAGAAGTAAATAAGCCAAAAAAAAAATCATATTCTGGCTTCTTTAAAAATAAATACAACTTTTTAAATTAACTTTGATTCTTCTTCTTTTTCTGTGTATGTATACGTGTGTATATGTGTTTGGGTCTGCCTGCTTATACCAGATAACTTTCCTTGACCTATTTCAGTCAAACTGAACACCAAAGTAAAGTTTTCAAAAGTACTAAATTCCTGTGCAGTTTGTGAAAGTGAGTGGAAAAGAGAATCCATATAAATTGTGCTACTGAAGGAGAGCTGAACTCTAACCCCAACACTAACAGTCATTTGGCAAGAGTACATATCAAACAGGTGGTGTGAATAATGAGAGTACCTGTAGACTAAACTAGCTTTACATATTACTGAACATCAGAGAACACAACCATAAGCTATAAAATCGTTTCACTAGTTTCGCTTCTCCTGGAGCTCTAACGTTTTGCTGTTCCTTTATATCACGTGACCAGGTTTTATTTGCTGTCCTCCAGTACTTCACTGATCTCCTGGCAATTCCGTGTGAGCTTACTTTGGAGAAATTTCTTCTTGGGAGAATTGGGCCATGTCTTCTACGGCATGACATTCTGCTGCTGCTTCCATTCTCTCAGGTTGTTTTGCCTGTAGTTTTTATCTTTGCTGTGTCTTCTTTCTCCCAAGATGGTATTAGTTATAGATTTCAAAATTAACCTTCATATTAATTCTGTGATTTTGGTCACTCATTTCATCTGTTGAACACCATCCCTGGAGAATTCCATCAGGCAACTCATCATAAATCAAAACTTTGGTTTTTGTTATTCCCTAATAAAGGTTCTGCAACTTGTATTAGACTTAACTAGGGTTTCCTTTCCTAGCCCATCCAAGCCTATCATTCCTCTCAAAGTCATATTCAATTAATTTTTAATCCAGAGGCTTGGCTGGTCAGTGCCTTCAGTGAAATCATGAATTTATAACACACTAATAGCCGCTCATCTGAATTCCTGCTATGGCGCAATACCCAGTGTTCAATATTGGCGTGTGCATCTCAAACCTCACGTGCAGCTGATGGGAAATGCAACTGGGAAGGAATTAAGGGCATCTGAATATAATGGTTGCTGTTCACACGGTGAAAAGTAGCTTAGCTCAGCTTGTCTGCTAACACTGCTGGCATCTGGTACAAATTAGAGTGGCTAATTCCATCAGCAGCGCCTACAGAAGCTGAGATTCGTGCTGGCCACCAGGTCATTATGTGTGGTATATTAAGACAGATGGGGCAGATTAATAAGCTTGAAGCTGGCTATGCATATCCTCCTTAGCTTAGTGAAAAGCACAGACTCACAATAACTGTAGTTTTGGTGCTGACCATAATATATTCCATCAGACTTGTGTTATTTTAAATCGGGGGCGTGCTTAAAACTGCATGACGTATTCCAACTGACCGTCTCTCACAACCTCTTAGGCATCAAAACAGATGAAGGAAGACCCGATTCACTTGTAAGACACAGAATAAAGAAAAATTAATAATCGCTTATGGAATTTTCTTCTTAGTAGTCAAGTTGCTTTCTTTCATGTGTAGGTGTGAATAGAAAACAGAAAAATGTTTTTTGCAGGGGCAGATTGAAATGCAGACTGGGTGGTATCCAGGCTCATTGGGAATGGAGAACTGCTTCCTTGCACAGAAAGAAGCATAGAGGAAATTGATAGGAAGGAGAGAAGGAAGATAAAGGATGTCAGAATGAGTGAGATTTACAGGGAAAAAAAAAAAAAAGGAAAAAAAGTGAGAAAAGGTATTCAGATTCACAAAGTGAAAGAAGCAGTAATTCAAATGCAAAAACACTGCTTCAGCAGTGGTGGATCATAGTAACAAATTCATTTATTATTGCACAATTACTAACTGCTAGATGTTTGCTTGGAAATGTACTGACATCAAAAGATACTACCGGTACTACTGGTTTTAGTAGACTTTTGCTTTTATAAACTGTAATTGAGGATCAATCACTAGTCAGTGATCAAAAGAACTATCTATATGGCTGGACTGAGAACAGGTATATAAGTGACAGGATGATAGGGAAGTGTCCCACTCTGTGTGGTAGGCTCAAGTTCTTGCTTTATGGTACATGTAAATTAAATAAGAAATACAGTAGGACAAGACAAAAAACAAACAAACAAACAAACAAACAAAAAAACAGGAAACAACTTCATAGATCTTAAACACTTCATATTTATTATACATTAAATAAAACAATTTCAGCTCAGTTGAGAGCCTGATGGGCCAGATTTAGAAAATCAAAACTTCTAAAGGAAGGTATGTTCAGCGTAAGTGATCATTAAGTACATATGTATTAATTATATTATAATAAAACTGTATTTTGTTAAACAATTCTCAAGTGAATAAAATACATTATCCAAGAGGTATGTATTCCAAAGGTCTTATTGCACAGCTACTGGCTAATCCACGTACTTTCAGTCTGACAAAAGTATGTTTTGTACCACCGAGTACCAACTCTGACCGCTTCCTCATGTTTATTATTACACAGCTTCTCCTCTTTCCTCATTAAAAAAAAACAAAAAAACACAAACACAATATCAAACAGAAAACAAAACTGAATATTACAAAGTGTGTGTTGTCTTCAGTTCATCTCATTTCAACCCCAAAGCAATCCATGCGTATTCTTTCTTTTCAGTAAGAGCAGGTAGAGAAAACAAAACAATAAATGAGAAAGATGGGGGGGGGGAAAAAAAAAGAAGAAGAAGAAGAAAAAATCTGCAGCCACACATTTGTTCTGTCAATGCAAGAATTAAAATGCTGTAATTCTGGCTACCAGTTTCCAGGGTGGCGGCAGGAAGCACTGTGGTTGGACTCTC